GAAATTAGAAGCTTTCCCACTGTTGCCCCCCCCCCCGCACCAAGAATACAGAGCATCCCTTGCCCCAGACATAAGAACAAAAGCCGTTTCTGTCAGGGCTCTCTCAGCCCCACCTGCCTCACAGGGTTTCTGTTGTGGGGAGGGGAAGGGAAAGGAGTTTGTAAGCCGCTCTGAGACACCTTTGGGTAGTGAAGGGCGGGGTATAAATCCAATCTCTTCTCTTCTTCTTCATTTAAGCGAGTTTGGTGTAGTAGTATAGTGCGCAGACTCTAATCTGGGAGAACCGGGTTTGATCCCCCTCGCCTCCACTTGCACCTGCTGGATGACCTTGGGCAAGCCCCAGTTCTGTCAGAGCTGTCCTTGAAAAAGAGAAGTTTCTGTCAGGGCTCCCTGAGCCCCACTTGCCTCACAGGGTGTCTGTTGTGGGGAGGGGAAGGGAAAGGAGATGGTAAGCCGCTCTTTGACTCCTTTGGGTAGTGAAGGGCGGGGTATAAAGCCAACATCCTCCTCCTCCTCCTCCTCCTCTTCTTCGAACGTCTGCCCAAAATGTGGACACGTGCCACTCAGCGAGAGAGAGGGCAAATGAGCCATGTATATTTGGATTGGTTTTCTGCTTATTTCAGCTTTGGACGGCTCACTTTTCTTCTATTAAAGCTGAAGAGCTATAAAACCTCTTTTTCCAAAGTAAAAATAGCCTGTTTCGTAGGAGGGGGTTTGCGTGGAGAGCTGGCTGGCTCCTGGCTAATTACCTCAACGCCTCTTCCCCGATCCATTTCCAGAGGCAGCTTTATAGATCGGCGGCTCGTGTTTCTGCAGGACGTTATCCAAGGGCTGTTAAAAAAATGTCGATAAAGTGGGCTGGATAGACAGAGAGGCTGGATGCAGTTCAGCCCCAAATGGACTCCCTGGGTGGTCTTGAAATAGCAGACATGTCCCACCCCCTTCATTAGAGAGGGAGATAAAGATCTCCTTTTTGGAAAGGAGAGGCGAGGGAATACATAACTGCAGCAGCACCACCACCACTCAAAATCTTGGACACGGGTGCGCCAGCACATGTTTTGCCCTATTTGAATTTTTGGTCAGGTTTTAAACTGAATTTTCTACCGTACAACAATGGCACCCAAAACAGTGTACAACAAGACCCCAGAACAGGGGTCTCCCAATGTCGAGACCATGGAAGCTTGCTGCGTGACCTTGTTTGGTGCAGTGGTTAGGAGCGCGGACTCTAATCTGGGAGAACCAGGTCTGATTCCCCGCTCTTCTACACGCAGCTGCTGGTGTGAGCTTGGGTCAGTCACAAGTTCTCTCAGAGCTGTTCTCTCAGGAGCAGTCCTCGAGAGAGCTCTCTCAGCCCCACCTACCTGTCAGGGTGTCTGTTGTGGGGAGGGGAAGGAAAAGGGAAAGGAGATTGTAAGCCGCTCTGAGACTCCTTTGGGTAGTGAAGGGCAGGGTATAAATCCAATCTCCGCCTCCTCCTCTTCTTCTTCTTCCCTTCACACACTCTCAGCCTAACCTAACACACAGGGTTGTTGTGTAGAAAAAATGGAGGAGAATGATATAAGGCGATTTGGGTCCCCATCGGGGAGAAAAGCGGGCTATAAATCAAGCGCACACACACAGCGATTCCTTTATTGGCGTTTCACAGAAATAAAAACATAGTATCTGGGAAATAAAATCCAGATTCTACATAAAATACAACTTCTGTTAAAAGATACCCCCGCGTCGAACACTTACGGAATTTTACTACGCATAGAAGCAGCAGCCAGTGAAAACTTTTGCCACAAGTTCAATTATGTTTTCCTCTGTGCGATTTAAAAAAAATTATAATCGTTTCTTCGGCTGAGGAAAGTCTGACACACGACCCAAGATTGGTGATAAAATACGTTGCCATGTCCTTCTGCAAATGCAAAAAAAGTTAATTAATATTCTGCTAACAACAGCCAAAATAACTATAGCTCAAAACTGGAAAAACAAAAAACCACCCGCGATAAACCAATGGATTCACAAGACCTGGGACATTTTTATGCTTCAAAGATTTTCAATTTATAATACAGTACATCAAAACGAATGTGAATTCTACGACCCGCTAAGTATTTGGTATCCCATTCTAGACAATATACAGTTAAACAAATTTGATTGGGAAAACATAACGGAAGCTAAATACAAATTGATGCTTTATTGTGAACAATATAACCAATTTAGCTTTCCCTATTTTGCCTATAACTTAATGCTCTTAGTGTGCAATATTAAAACATGCTTGGATTTATATGCATTACTAAACCTTATTGGACATATACAAACTCTACCTGTATTGATATGTTTATTAAGTCTATCTTCAACCCTAATGTCATGTCAAACTATTTATATTGCTGTATTATTAACATCAATAAAATTTCTTTTTAAAAAAAGAATAAAATACGGCGCCGAATACCAGAATAACAACAACATTCAAACAGCACATGGTGCACCGTCTCAGTAGTAGTCATATGTCCAAGGGCAGAGTCTATTAGCAAAGGGGATAAACTGGGATCTTCCGAATAAGATTGCCGAGGGTAAAACCCTAAGCCTGGCCAGTATAAATCAAGTAAATCAATAACAGAAATGGTCAGTCTATCTATCTATCAGCGTGCAGTCAGACTGGCCAGTGGCCTCTCCAGGAAAGGACCTCTCCAAGCCCTGTCCTTTATGAACTTCCCTTCAGTCCACCGAAACCAGGACTGACTGGCTCTTCTGACTGACCGCACTTCTCCCAGGTATCCAGCAGAGAACGGTCCTTCCCAGAGCCACCACCCGAGATCCCTTTAACCGGAGATGCCGGGGATCGATCCCGGCACATTTTCGGCACGCAGATCTGGGGCTCTCCCGCCGCGCCGTGGCCCCTCCACAGAACACTCGGCATGGTTTGACCACTGACGCTCCACGACGTGACCTCCGCTCTGTGTAGTGGTTAAGTGCGCGGATTCTAATCTGGGAGAACCGGGTTTGATTCCCCCACTCCCCCACTTGCAGCTGCTGGGTGACCTTGGGTCAGCCACAAGTTCTCTCAGAGCTGTTCTCTCAAGGACAGTTCAGAAAAGAGCTCTCCCAGCTCCGCCTCCCTCACAGGGTGTCTGTTGTGGGGAGGGAAAGGAGTTTGTAAGCCGCTCTGAGACTCCAAGTGAAGGGCGGGGTATAAATCCAATATCTTCTTCTTCCTAGAGAGGTACTCCTCAAGCGGAAGGGACCCCCGCTGTCCCCTGTGGATGTCGTGCGGATCTATGCCGTGTTGGAGGACTGCATCGACCAGCTGGCCATCCTTGGACACATCATGCCCATCTCGCACGAGGCCAAGAGAGACACCTTTAGCGTAAGCACCCCGCAGACTCTGAAATACGGAGAACGGGTGCCGGAGAGGGTATTCCATTTGTGCCGTGGTTGGGAGTGTGGACTCTAATCTGGGAGAACTGGGTCTGATTCCCCACTCATCTTCCACATGCAGCTGCTGGTGTGACCTTGGGTCAGTCGCAAGCAAGGTTCCCTCTAATTTATGGAGCCCTGTGAGCAACAATTCTACTTTGTGAGCTACTGGCATTAAAGTTGTGAGCGAGCATTTTGGCTACTGCATAAATTAGTTTGCTCTGGAGCCATCCGTCCTGAGCTAAGACAAAAATGCGTGAGCTGGAGGCTAAAAAACTGTGAGCTAGCTCACACTAACTCAGCTTAGAGGGAACATTGGTCGCAAGTTCTTTAGGAGCTGTTCTCTCAAGGGCAGTTCTCGAGAGAGCTCTCTCAGACCCACCTACCTCACAGGGTGTCTGTTGTGGGGAGGGGGAAAGGAGATGATGATGAACCTCTGAATCCCAGAGCCAGGAGGCAACCTCAGGGGAAGGCCTCGGCCTCTCCGCCCTGCTGGTGGCCCTCCAGAGGAACTGGTAGGCCCCTGTGTGAGACAGGATGCTGGACTAGATGGACCACTGGTCAGATCCAGCAGGGCTCTTCTTATGTAAGTTTCCCCAGCAGGTAAATAGCAACTCATCTTGGCTTTATCAATGTAGGAAAACGGTTGTGCGGGGGCTGAACCACTGTCTCCTTACACACCATAGTCCTGAGACCCTGTGTGCATGGAAAGTGTTATGTGGGGTTTTTCCCTAGGCAGTGTAGTGGTTCCCCAGTTTGGTGTCGTGGTTAAGTGCGCAGACTCTAATCTGGGGGAACCGGATTTGATTCCCCGCTCCTCCACTTGCAGCTGCTGGATGACCTTGGGCAAGCCGTAGTTCTGTCAGAGCTTATCTTTGAAAAAGAGCCGTTTCTGTCAGAGCTCTCTCAGCCCCACCTACCTCACAGGGTGTCTGTTGTGGGGAGGGGGAGGGAAAGGAGTTTGTAAGCCGCTCTGAGACTCTGAGTGAAGGGTGGGGTATAAATCAAATCTCCTCCTCCTCCTCCTCCAGTTTGGTGTAGTGCTTAGGAGCAGCAGACTCTAATCTGGGAGAACCGGGTTTGATCCCCCCACTCCTCCACATGCAGCTGCTGGTGTGACCTTGGGTCAGTTACAAGTTATTTCAGAGCTGTTCTCTCAAGAGCAGTCCTCGAAAGAGCTCTCTCAGCCCCACCGACCTCACAGGGTGTCTGTCTGTTGTGGGGAGGGGAAGGGGAAGGAGTTTGTAAGCCGCTCTGAGACTCCCTTGGATAGTGAAGGGCGGGGTATAAATCCAATCTCCTCCTCCTCCTCCTCCTCTTCTTCTTTTTCTTCTTCCTGCAGAGTTACTTCCCACCACTTCTGCTTGGAGCCTGACCTACTTGACTTGCCTCTTCCAGAGGTTATTCCGCCTCAAACAGGTGCCGGCAGTGCACCCAAAGCACATAACGTCAGGGACTGTGGTGCTCTCAAGTTATCCAATGAGGGCTTCCACTCCCTCATTACACTGTGTCCTTTTTGGGGGCACGTCAGAACAGGGTCTGTCTAGTCCAACATCGTGTCTCACTCAGTGGCCAACAAGGCAGAGAAGCCGAGGCCTTCCCCTGAGGTTGCCTCCTGGACTGGGATTCAGAGGTGGCTTGCCGATGAACCTGGAGGTTCCCTTTGGTCACCATGGCTAGTACCCAACGATAGACCTATCCTCCAGGAATCTATCTAAGCCTCTCTCAAAGCTGTCTGTTTGTCTGTTCCTGTGGCCATCACAGTGAATCCCACATTTTAATCACTTATTGTGTAAAGCTAAACATGAGCCTGCGGTGCGATGTGGCTGTGAAGAAAGCTAATGCAATCTTGGGACGCATTAACAGAAGCATGGTGTCCAGATCACGGGAGGTGGTCGTTCCGCTCTATTCTGCTATGGTCAGGCCTCACCTGGAGTCCTGTGTCCAGTTTTGGGCACCACATTGTAGGAAGGATGTTGACAAGCTCGAGCATGTCCAGAAGAGGGCAACCAGGATGGCGAGAGGGTTGGCATCCAAGTCTCACAAGGAAAGGCCGAAAGAGTTGCGTCTGTTTAGCCTGGGAAAGAGAAGGCTTAGAGGGGACACGATTGCAGTCTTCAAGTATTTGAAGGGCTGTCATGTAGAAGATGGAGCGGATCTATTCTCTCTTGCTCCGGATTGCAAGACTCGATCGAATGTGTGGAAATTACAAGGGAGTCGTTACCGGCTAAATATCAGGAGAAACTTCCTAACTGTCAGAGTGGTTGAGCAGTGGAACAGTCTGCCTCGGGAGGTGGTGGATGCTCCTTTGCTGGACGTTTTCAAGCAGAGGCTGGACGACCATCTTTCGGGTATGTTGTCGGGCTGTCTTTCGGCTATGCTCCTGCAGAGTGCAGGGGTTGGGACTAGATGATCTGCAAGGTCCCTTCCAACTCTGACATTCTATGATTCTATAAGTATTTCCTTTTGTCTGTCCTGAACCTACTGCCCGTCGGCTTCATTTGTTGTCCTTGAATTCTCGTCTTTTGGAAGAAGGAGAAAAATGTCTCTTTCTCAGCCATCCACCCCGTGCATAATATTATAAACCTCTATCCTGTCCCCCCTTAGTTGTCTCTTTTCTAAACGGAAGAGTCCCAGACTCTTCAGCCTTTCCTCGCAGGGAAGGTGCCCCGACCCCTTCACCCTCTTGGTCGCCCTCCTCCGAACTGTCTCCAGCTCCACAGTGTCCTTTCTGAGATACGGTGACCAGAACCGTACACAGTATTCCAAACGAGGCCGGACCATAGATCTATACAGGGGCCTTACAATATTGGCCGTTTCATTCTCAATCCCTTACGTGGTGTTTGCCTTTTCCGCTGCCGCCGCACACCGGGCTGACACTTTCGCTGAGCCATCCACTGTGATACCAAGATCCTTTTCACCTCTCAGTCTCAGCAAGTTCAGACCCCAAGTTCAGACCCCTGGGTCTCAAAACCGGTTGACCCTCCCTGTCCTGAGGGAGGCCACGCTAGCCGCTACTAGGGCCGGGGCCTTTTCGGTGGTGGCCCCTATCTGGTGGAACGAGCTCCCGGAGGAGATCAGGGCCCTGCAGGACCTCTCACAGTTCCGCAGGGCCTGCAAGATGGAGCTCTTCTGCCAGGCATATAACTACGGGCTGCCTTCACCCAATCTTCCATTGGTTCTGGTTCAACCTTCTGGAGCAACAGAAAACAAAAGGTTGGATCAGAACCAACAAGTTGAAATTAAATCAGAAGAGTTTCCAGCTAAACATTAGGAAGAACTTCCTGACAGTTAAGAGTGGTCCCTCAGTGGGACAGGCTTCCTTGGGAGGTGGTGGGCTCTCCTTCTTGGGAGGTTTTCAAGCAGAGGCTAGAGGGCCCTCTAACAGCAAGGCTGATTCTGTGAACTTGGGCAGATCGTGAGAAGGGAGGGCAGGAAGGGTTGCCTCAGTGCTCAGTTCTTGTGGCCCTTTCTTACGTGCCCAGGGTAGTGCCAATCGCCACTTTGGGGTCAGGAAGGAACTTTCCTCCAGGCCAGATTGGCCAGGGATCCTGGTTTTTTTTTTGCCTTCATAGGATCATGGAATCATAGAATGTTTGAGTTGGAAGGGACCTTGCAGGTCATCTAGTCCAACCCCCTGCAGGAGTGTAGCTGAAAGAGAGCCCTACATACCTACAACATACCCGGAAGATGGTCATCCAGCCTCTGCTTGAAAACGACCAGCGAAGGAGCATCCACCACCTCCCGAGGCAGACTGTCCCACTGCTCAACCACTCTGACAGTCAGGAAGTTTCTCCTGATATTTAGCCGGTATCGACTCCCTTGTGATTTCCACCCATTCGATCTAGTCTTGCAGTCCAGAGCAAGAGAGAATAGATCTGCTCCATCTTCTACATGACACCCCTTCAAATACTTGAAGACGGCAATCATGTCCCCTCTAAGCCTTCTCTTTCCCAGGCTAAACAGACCCAACTCTTTCAGCCTTTCCTCATAAGACTTGGATTCCAACCCTCTCACCATCCTGGTTGCCCTCTTCTGGACATGCTCGAGCTTGTCGACATCCTTCCTACAGTGTGGTGCCCAAAACTGGACACAGGGCTCCAGGTGAGGCCTGACCATGGCAGAATAGAGCGGAACTATTTCACAGGCATGGGGAAGTGGCAGGGGTGTGGGGGGGAGGCAGTTGTGAATTCCCTGTGTTGTGCAGGGGGCTGGCCTAGATGACCCCCGAGGTCCCTTCCAGCTGTCTGTTTCTAAGTTTCCCTCATCCGCAGCCATCTCTCCCCCTTTCCAGATCGACGGCGAACACATCAATGAGATTCTCAGCAGCCAGAAGGACCTGGGTGCCAAATACCAGCAGCTGATGGATTCCCGGGCAGAGAGCCAGGCGAAGATCCCCGTTGAGCTCGGCAAGATCTCTGAACTCAGCCGTCAGCTGCAGGAGACGAGCAACGAACTGAAGAGAGCCAACCAGCTTTTCAACGCGTCTGCGAAGCAAATGACGCTGCCCATGGACCACCTCAAGAAGGTCCAGGAAAACAGGTGAGGCAGACATGGGCAGGAGGGCTCTAAGAGACGGTCACCACGCCATGCCCCACCACCGACCCCTCTCCCCTAGACCAAGGGGGGGGGAACACACCGAGGCAATTTGGCACTGGTGCACCGGGGTTCTATGCTGTACACTAATACGGCTCAATGTGGACCATAATACAAATTCTGCTGGATCCGACATCAGGCCCATCTGATGAAGAGAGCTTTGACTCTCCTAAGCTCATGCCCCCAAAATCCTGTTGGTCTCTAAGGTGGCACCGGGTTCGAATCTAGCTGTTCTACTGCAGACTAAGAGGGCTACCCTCTGAAATGAAAGAAATCCAGATTTGGAGAACTCAGAACAGCAGATTTCAGATCTGTGTCGAATCGAGGGTTGAAGGGAGCCTTGACTCTTGAAAGTTCACACCTCGAATAGCCCGTCCGTTTCAAAGGTGCTGCTGGACTCCAGTCTAGGTGTTCTACTGCAGACCGACACAGCTACCCTCTGAAAAGGGTCTATCTAATGATTCCATTTTTGGTGTGTGTGTCTCTTTAAATGTTTAGTTTAACTGCAGTAATGTAAGGAGAGTGATAGAGGGAGATAAATGTGATGTGATTGGCTGATGACTGAGAGAGTGGGAGGAGAGATGTCTATGAGAGGATTCTGTGTGTGAAGTTTAGAAAGAGTGCGTAGTCTGTGTGACTATGGGAGTTTGAGTCTATTATGTGTGAATCAGACAGACAGTTTAGTCTGTGTGACTATGGGGGTTTGAGTCTATTCTGTGTGAATCAGACAGACAGTTTAGTCTGTGTGACTATGAGAGTTTGAGTCTATTCTGTGTGAATAAGACAAAGAGTTTAGCCTGTGGTGTTGTTCAGTCGCACAGTCGAGTCCGACTCTTCGCAACTGTGTAGCTATATATATAAGGTAAAGGTAAAGGTTCCCTTGCTCGAAAGCCAGTCGAATCCGACTCTAGGGTTGCAGTGCTCATCTCTGTTTCAAAGCCGAAGAGCCAGCGTTAGCTATGTGTGTGTGTGTGTGTATATATATATATATGAGAGAGATTAGACTGAGTGTCTAAGCCTGCCAGAGTGCAGTTTGAAGTTTGAGAGTATTCCCGCTAAGCTGAGTTAGTGTGAGCTAGCTCACAGTTTTCTAGCCTTTGGCTCACACATTTTTGTCTTTGCTCAGGAAGGATGGCTCCAGAGCAAACTAATTTATGCAGGAGACAAATCGCTCGCTCACAACTTTAATGCCAGGAGCTCACAAAGTAGAATTTTGGCTCACAAGACTCCTCAGCTTAGAGGGAACATTTTGTGACACCAAGCTTTGCCAGTTATATTTACAAGTTCCTTTCTTCAGCAACAGTTCAAAGTAACCAGAAACCTATTTTGTTCTTTATTAAATAAATCATTATTTGTTTAAACTTATTCCAGCAATCCGAATAGTCCTTCCTCAGGGCCACATAGTCCTCTGAAGTGCCCAGACCCTGGGTCGTTCTACCAAAAGAGAGAGATTTGGAATTTTTAATTCCTGGTGGCAGCAGAAATCTACCAAGTTTATGTACACAGAGAGTATTTAAAGGAGCAACAGTCTCCCCAATAAGCGAGGACGTCACAGTCTATCTAGTCAACAGTCCTGAAACCAAAAGCAGTCAGCCGGACTCTTCCACAAAGGCCGCCACCAGGACGTGAAGCAGCCCCCTCTTGGCCTCTGGGAACGGGTATTCTGAAGCATACGGCTTTTGAAAATGGAGGCTCCATTGTTCATTCTCCTCCATGAATCCATATAACCCCCTTTTAACGCCATCTGAGCCCAAGGGCTGGCAGTCCGTCTGGTGGCACAGAATGTCATACACAAAGAGTTTCTTTAGACTTTAAGGGCAGATCCAACAAGGGCATTACAGTAGTCTAGCCTCGTGATAACCACACTGTCGATCCACATGGCCAGATCAGCCAAGTCAAGGCAGGGGGCCATCTCTTCGGCACAGTGAAGCCGGGAGAAGACATTCCTTGCAGCTGCATTAACTTCCTTCTCCAGCAATAATCATAGAATCCCAGAGTGGGAAGGGGCCCTACAAATCATCCAGTCCAACCCCCTGCTCAAGGCAGGATCAGCCTAGAGCAGTGGTGGCGAACCTATGGCACGGGGGCCAGAGGTGGCACTCAGAGCCCTCTCTGTGGGCACACGTGCCATCGCCCCAGCCAGGCCCAGACCATCATTAAAGTGTTGAATTCTCTGCCAAATAATTTTAAGTAAATGAAAGGATTTGGGATTGCCTTCCTTACTTAGTTTGGATTATATTAAGTTAATGTCTGAGTTGTTTTTCCTAAAGTAGAACCTCAGTATTCAGGTTAAATTGCCGTGTTGGCACTTTGCGATAAATAAGTGGGTTTTGGGTCGCAGTTTGGGCACTCGGTCTCTAAAAGGTTCACCATCACTGGCCTAGAGCATCCCTGACAAGGGTTTTTCCAGCTGCTGCTCAAAGACTGCCACTGAGGGGGAGCTCGCCACCTCCCCAGGCAGCCGATTCCACTGTTGCCCAACTCTGACTGTCAAAAAGATTTCCCTAATGTCCAGCCGGTCCCTTCCCGCCTTGAATTTAAACCCATTCATAGAATCATAGAATGTTAGAGTTGGAAGGGACCTTGCAGGTCATCTAGTCCAACCAGTGTTCCCTCTAAGCTGAATTAGTGTGAGCTGGCTCACAGTCTTTTAGCCTCCGACTCGCACATTGTTGTCTTAGCTCAGGAAGGAGGGCTCCAGAGCAAACTCATTTATGCGGTAGCCAAACACTTCCTTGCAACTTTAATGCCAGTAGGTCACAAAGTAGAATTTTTGCTCACAAGACTTCGCAGAGGTCCATCAGTGGCTATTAGCCACAAGGTATAGATAGGGACTCTGGGGCAAGTGATGCTCTGTCATCTTGGTGCTTGGGGGGGGGTCAACAGTGGGAGGGCTTCTAATGTCCTGGCCCCACTGCTGGACCTCCTGATGGCACTGGTATTTCTGGCCACTGTGTGATACAGAGTGTTGGACTGGATGGGCCTTTGGCCTGATCCAACATTGGCATCTCTTATGTTCTTACGCAGCTTAGAGGGAGCATAACCCCTTGCACTCTGTGGGAGCATAGCATTCTCCGAGTCCTCTCCTCTGCTGCCCACAGGAACAGCTCCCTGCCCTCCTCCGAGTGACAGCCCTTCAAAGACTTCAAGAGAGCCATCCTGTCCCCCCTCAACCCCCTCTTCTCCAGACTGCACCTTCCAAAGTCCCTCAGCCTTTCCTCACAGGGCTTGGCCTCCAGGCCCCCGATCATCCTCCTCGCTCTCCTCTGCACTGAATGCTAAATCCAGCATAATGGAGGGTTTTTTGGTTTTGTTTTTAAATCTCCCAACAGGGAAACTGAGATGCTCAGGAGAAAGGCAGGCCTCTGAACATTTTCAATTACTGAATTAATATAACTAACCACATCCCTTCATTTTTGTCATCTTCCCCCATCTCCATACAACACCCCTCCCCCATGGCTTTTTCTAACAGCTCTCCTCCAGTGTCGCACAGTAGCTAAGACACTCCCTTCTCTCATTTCAGCCCAAGAACCCCTCCCTTTGGCAAGACGCGATTGAGGGGTGACATGGTAGAGGTTTACCAAATGATGCATGGGACAGAGCAGGTAGAGAAAGTACCTTCCTCCCTTTCTCACAGTGCAAGAGCTCGTGGGCACCCAATGAAATTAAGGAGCAGTAGGCTTAGAACAGAGAAAAGGAAGCACTTCTTCACCAAAAGAGCAGTTAACATGTGGAATTCACTGCCATAGGAAGTGGCGGCGGCTACAAGCATGGGCGGCTTCAAGAGGGGACTAATAAAAACATGGAGCAGCGGTCCATCCGTGGCTATTAGCCGCAAGGTATAGATAGGAACGGAGCTGCGGTGGCTCAAGTGGTTAAGACGCTGAACTGCAGGCTGTGGAAGGTCGGTAGTTCAGCAGTTCGAGACCCGAGTGCGCCACATGGCGGAGAGAGCTCCCGTCTCTAGTTCCAGCTCCTGCCAACCTAGCAGTTCGAAAGCAAGAAATTGCAAGTAGATAAATAGGTACCACTTCGGTGGGAAGGGAACAGCATTCCATGCGCCTTGGTGTTTAGTCATGCCGGCCACATGACCACGGAAACGTCTTCGGACAGCGCTGGCTCTTCGGCTTTGAAACGGAGATGAGCACCACAACCCTAGAGTCGGACTCGACTGGCTTTCAAGCAGGGGAACCTTTACCTATAGATAGGAACACCCTGTCTGGGGCAGGTGATGCTCTGTATTCCTGGTGCCTGGGGGGGCAACAGTGGGAGGGCTTCTAGTGTCCTGGCCCCACTGCTGGACCTCCTGATGGCACCGGGTGTTTCTGGCCACTGTGTGACACAGAGCGTTGGACTGGATGGGCCACTGGCCTGATCCAGCATTGACTTCTCTTAAGTTCTTATGACACAGATAGCACCACTGGCATAATTTGCATGGTTATCAGGAAGATTATCAAGTCAGCTGCATAAATGAAAAGTACTCTTAGCATTGCCAACTTTCCTTTCCTTTCCTTTGTCCAATAAAACCTCCGTGGCTCAATGCCTTGAGCAGTGTAATAATCTGAAATGTCATTTATACTCCCCTGTTTATTTCCCAAAAGACAAAAAAGGGGTAAAACAAAATTAGCAACATCCAAAGTTATACGAGGATTCTGATCTGAGAGCAGGAAGGGGAGCCCCCCCCCCGCGCTTAGATTAGAATTGTAGGAGTTCACCAACCGTGGTAGAATGAAATGACATCTCAAGTTAGAATATAGAGGATATCGAAGGGGGGCCCCCCCCCCCCCGCTTAGATTAGAATTGTAGGAATTCACCATGAAATGACATCTCAAGTTAGAATATAGAGGATATTACAATAAAATATGAGAGACTGTATCTATTTTAGCACGGGAGCAGGAGCAAATTCTGTCAGGGTAGGGAAGATGCAAGCAGCAGACTTTCGTAACCTCCATCGGATGGGCATTCATTCTAGCAAGAATAAAAGCCCTTCGAAGACCAGCTTTAGGGATGTTTGGTGTGCCCCTGTTTGATCTGTGAGGAGGGTAGCCAATGTCCAGGCGAGGCCTGGAGACTACCCTGTAAGCACAACAGAAGAAGAAGAAGAGAAGAGATTGGATTTATATCCCGCCCTTCACCTGGAGTCTCAGAGCGGCTTACAAACCCCTTCCCCTTCCCACAACAGACACCCTGTGATGTAGGTGGGACTGAGAGAGCTCTCTCGAGAACTGCCCTTTCAAGGACAGCTCCTGTCAGAACTATGGCTTGTCCAAGGTCATCCAGCAGGTGCAAGTGGAGGAGTGGGGGACTCAAACTCAGTTCTCCCAGATTAGAGTCACTTAACCACGACACCAAACTGGCTCTCCTACACCAAACAGACCACCAGTGTTCCCTCTAAGCTGAGTTAGTGTGAGCCAGCTCACAGTGTTTTATTTATTATTATTTATTTATTTATTACTCACATTTCTATCCCGCCCTTCCCGGAGGCTCAGGGTGGCTTACAGGGCACATTGCCAGATAAAACAGTAAAAACAATACAAAATATTAAATTACAATCCCATTAAAACAGATTTTGATACTTCACTCAGCTACTTTACAATTTCTAAAAGCAATTTCTAAAAGCAAGATGGCCGCATCCTAACCATCCCGTTCTCACCCATAGTGTGCTGAGCTGGTGCCTCTGGCGCACACATTTCCCCCTTAGCTCTGGAAGGGATGGCTCAAGAAGAGCAAACTAATTTATGCAGGAGCCCAATCGCTCGCTCCCAACTTGGATGCCGGGAGCTCACAAAGTAGAATTCTTGCTCACAAGACTCCACAGCTTAGCAGGAGCCTTGCAGACCACAGAGGTCAGTTCCCCTGGGGGGGAAATGGCTGCTTTGGAGGGTGGACTCTGTCGGCATCACACACCCCTGCTGACGTCCCTCCTCTCCACAAGCTCCACCCCCAGATCTCCGGGACCTTCCCAACCCAGAGACCTGCAGAAATGCTGGAAACAGCCCAGAGTTGAAAACAGAACCCCGGAAGGCAGCCAAAGGGCGGAGCGGGCCACAGGTAGTTCCTGTGGGACGTCTTCCTCTGGCCCTCAGGATTTCAGGGCTTGGGGGAGGCAGGCAGACTCCGTAAACGACTCCTTTCCTTGGGTGACCACTTCCCGGGCAGGCAATACGTATGCGACATAATTGAAGAGACGATGGATGAGCTGCTGACGCTGGGGACGTTCCAGACCCTGCTGAGAGCTGTCAACGCCGAGAAGCAGAAGAAGATCCAGCTACAGGACATCGTCCTCAGGTCAGTTCTGTGCCTAAGATGCTGCCTTGGGGATGCGTCTGTGCGAAGCCGCTCCCTGACTTGGATGCCAAGAAAGCAAAATCCGCTAGGAAAACACCATCGAAAATAAGCTGTGGTAGATTTTCCGGGTGGTCTGGCCGTGGTCTGCTGACGCTGGGGACGTTCCAGACCCTGCTGAGAGCTGTCAACGCCGAGAAGCAGAAGAAGATCCAGCTACAGGACATCGTCCTCAGGTCAGTTCTGTGCCTAAGATGCTGCCTTTGTGATGCGTCTGTGCGAAGCCACTCCCTGACTTGGATGCCAAAAAAGCAAAATCCGCTAGGAAAATACCATCGAAAATAAGCTGTGGTAGATTTCCTGGGTGGTCTGGCCGTGGTCTTGGCATTGTAGGACCTGACGTTTCACCAGCAGCTGTGACTGACATCCTCAGAGGTATAACACAGAAAGATGGAGTACTCTCTGTGTCAAGGTGAGAAGAAAAATGGTAGGCAGGTAATTTATATCTCCTCA